TGGTTAATTGGAGATTAGAGTCTCATGCAACTTTTCCTGTCTAGACTGGATTTTGAGCCAAGATCTTCATTTTCAGCTTCCTGAGTAGCCAGGATTACAGGAGTAAGTGGCTGTCACTCATCTGTATTGAAGTTTTAATGGTAGAACAATGCTCTTTTGTTATTTTTTTTATGAGCACTGGAATCATATGAAAAAAGAAAGATTGATTTAAATTGAATGATTTTAGTTGAAGGCAAAGAATGGAAGTACATGTAAAGACTGAATGGCCAAATTGAGAAGGACCTTGAAAACAAGATTCAAGAATTTCTTTTTCATGGGGCTGGGAAGGTGGCTCAGTGGTAGAGCACTTGCCTTGCATGCATGAGGCCCTGGGTTCGATTCCTCAGCACTACATAAGAAAAAAGCCGGAAGTGGCGCTGTGGCTCAAGTGGTAGAGCACTAGCCTTGAATTGAAGAGCTGAGGGACAGCGCCCAGGCCCAGAGTTCAGGCCCCATGACCGGACCCAAAAAAAAAAAAAAAGATTTTCTTTTTCTTTGTTGTTGTTTTTTTTTAAGTCATTAAAAAAACTACCTAAAGTTCTTGAAATGTTAAATCTGTGATTTGTCCAACCAAGGAAGAATAGTAGAGATTTTTCTAGTAAACAAGAAAATAAATATTTAAGCTAGAATTGTAACAATGAAAATGTAAGAAAATGGGAAGAATTTGAGAATCAAAAGGACTTGGGGGGAGGGGTGGCTGGGAAGGTGGCTCAGTGGTAGAGTCTTGCTTTGCATGCATGAAGCCCTGGGTTTGATTCCTTAACGTACATAAGCAGAAAAAGCTGGAAGTGGCGCTGTGGCTCAAGTGTTAGAGCACTAGCCTTGAGCTGAAGAGCTGAAGGACAGCGCCCAGGCCCAGAGTGCAGGTCCCACAAGGGGGATGAGGGAGACTAGGGGGCTGGGAAGGTGGTGGCTCAGGACTTGCCTTGCATGCATGAGGCCCTGGGTTCATTTCCTCAGCACCACATAAGTAGAAAAAGATGGAAGTGGCACTGTGGCTCAAGTGGTAGAGCACTAGCCTTGATCTGAGAGCTGAGGGACAGCGCCCAGGTCCAGAGTTCAAGCCCCATGACCGACGAAAGAAAAAGACTTAGAATCCAGAAGGTTAACATTCTAACAAAAAGTTAAAATTGAGTTACATAGAATAGTGTTAACAAAAATAAGGTAAGAAGGAAACAATTTTTTTTTTTTTGGTTGGTTGTGGGGCTTGAACTCTGGGCCTGGGCGCTGTCCCTGAGCTTAGCTTAAGGTGAGCACTCTACCACTTGAGCCACAGTGCCACTTGTGGTTTTCTGGTGGTTAACTGGGTATGAGTCTCATGGACTTTTCTTGCCCAGGCTGGCTTTGAACCTCAATTCTCAGATCTCAGCCTCTTGAGTAGCTAGGATTACAGGGTGAGCCACTGGCACCCGGCTAGGAAACAGATTTTGAAGGAGGGATGTTTAAAGAACTACCACAAATTACAAAAGACTTACAGGATACATTGAAATTTTGAAGGTAATGCTGTTGTTGGATATAGCATGTGGCTAACCCATACTTTTTATATCAGGTTAATGAGGAGCCTTTTGATGACCTCTTTAGTCAAAGTAAACTTGTCATTGTATTGGTACAAAAGACAGATGGTACTGGAGCAGCATTCAGACTTCAGTTTGAAGCATGGCTGTATACCTTGGGAAGCTACTCAGCCTCTTTGTGCCTGTTATCTAATTTATGAGTTGGGGCATAAAAAAAAAACTGTCCTTATCCTGGAGTCAGAGATTTAAAACTGTAATCCTAGCTACTTAGGAGGATGAGATTTGATGATTGCAGTTCAAAGCAAGCTTAGGCAGGAAAGTTTGTGAGATTCTTTCTACGATGAACAATCAAAAATCTGGAAGTAGAGGTGTGCCTCAAGTGGTAGAATGCCAGTCTTGAGCAAAAAAGGTAAGAGAGAGTTCCTTGGCTCTGAGTTCAAGCCACAGTACTTACACAAAAACATAAAGGTTAAAAAAAAACAAACACTTGTTTGAGCTGGCTGCTGGTGGCTCATGCCTGTAATCTTAGCTACTCAGGACACTGAGATCTGAGGATCACAGTTCTTTTTTTTTTTTTTTGGGGTCCGGTTGTGGGCCTGAACTCTGGGCCTGCTCACTGTCCCTCGGCTCTTCAGCTCAAGGCTAGCGCTCTACCACTTGAGCCACAGCTCCACTTCTGGCTTTTTTCCTTTTTTGCTTATGTGGTACTGGGGAATCGAACCCAGGGCCTCAGGCATGCAAGGCAAGCGCTCTACCACTGAGCCACCTTCCCAGCCCCTGAGGATCACAGTTCTAAGCTAGCCTGGGCAGGAAAGTCCATAAGACTTCTATCTCTAATTAGTCACCAGAAAACTGGAAGTGACATTGTGGCTCATATTGGTAGAATGCTAGCCTTGAATGCAAAAGCCCAGGCCCTGAGTTCAAGCCCCACAGGTGACAGAAAAAAAACAACAAAAAAAACCTGTATGAACACAGTGTTGAGAGTCACATGGAATTATTCATGTGAAAGTATAAGCTGTAAAAAATAATTAACTGCTACATAAATTTGTGTTTTAGAAACTATAATTCAGTGAATTATTAGTGTCTTTTTTTTCTAGATGATTTAGTATGTAGAGATGAAAGATATAGACTTCTTCCTTTAAGATACTCATATGTTTGTAGGGAAGACAAGTATTTATAGCACACCTGGTAAACGCTGCAGTATCCTGTGTATCATAACATATGCTACTAGGACCATAAAGTAGAGGGAACTATTAATATAGGCTGAGAAAAGTTTTAAAGAACTGGAACACTAGAATCTTTAACTTTTGTTATCACATGGGGAGCAGGAAGTGTTTCTCTCTACTTTTTTCTTTGTTGTGGGGCTTGAACTCTGGGCCTGGGTACTGTCCCTGAGCTCTTCAGTTCAAGGCTAGTCCTCTACCATTTGAGCCACAGTGCACTTCTGGTTTTCTGGTGGTTTATGAGAGATGAGTCTCATGGACTTAACTTCCCTGGCTGGCTTTGAACCGAAATCCTCAGATCTCAGCCTCCTTAGTAGCTAAGATTACAGGCACGAGCCACTGTACTTTTAACCCTGTTATACTAAAACAACAACAGAAGAACTAGAACACTGAAAACATGAGGAAGATTATGCGAAGCATAGCTGTTGTTGTTTTTTTATAAAAGGGATATAATTTAAGAAAATATGTTACTGTCTAGAGTATACGGTATTTCTGGAACGTGAGGTATTTGTAAAAGATGAGGGTTGAAATGAGGGTCTGTGCCATGTTAAGATAAGGAATTTGAATTTTATATAGTGTAGCCAGTCTGAAACATGACAATGTTGAAATTAGAATTTTAGTTCTTGGTGTTGTGGAACATGGGCAAGTGGAAAAAACTGTAGTAATTATGAATAACAGGTTTTTTTTTTAATTTTTTTTTGGGGTCCGGTCATGGGGCCTGAACTCTGGGCCTGGGCGCTGTCCCTCAGCTCTTCAGCTCAAGGCTAGCACTCTATCACTTGAGCCACAGCGCAACTTCCGGCTTTTTTCTTCTTGCTTATGTGGTGCTGAGGAATCGAACCCAGGGCCTCATGCATGCAAGGCAAGCGCTCTACCACTGAGCCACCTTCCCAGCCCGAGAACAGATAGTTTTTATTCATTGTCTCTGGTAACCAAAAGGATAAAACCCTGAAAATTATTTAGGACCTATTGGTCATTTAAGGTGAGAGAGAAAGAGATGCCTATAATAATTACCAGATTAATTAGCTAACTGCTTTTGGTAATGGTTTAGATAAAAAAAACAATATATTCACTCATGAATATGTTTCTAGTATCTGTGGAACATTTGGGTGGATAAACCTGAGAGACTCTTATTTCCATTTAACTGGCATAATGCTGGAAATAGAGGTATGGTTCAAGTTGTAGAGTACTAGCCTTGAGCAGAAAATACTAAGCACAACAGTGTGATGACCAAAGGTCAAGCACCCAGAAAACCCTAAAAACAACTACCTTATAAATGAAAACCTCCTGCATTTTTTTTTTTTTTTTGTCACCAGTTGTCGGGCTTGAACTCAGGGACTGGATCTGTCCTTTTGCTCAAGGCTAGCTCTTTGAGCCACAGAGCCACAGACTTAATCACATCCTAGGCTTCATAAAGAAGAATTAAGTTTAAGCCTGCACCAGTGATTCAAGCCTGTAATCCTAGCTACTCAGGAGGCTGAGATCTGAGGATCGAGGTTCAAAGCCAGGTGGGGGCAGGAAAGTTCGTGAGACTCTTTATCTCCAATAAACCACTAGAAAACTGGAAGTGGCACTGTGGTAGAGCGCTCGCAGGGACAGCACCCAAGTCCTCAGTTCAAGCCCCATGACCGACAAAAAAAAAAAGAACTTAGTTTAGATGAAAAATTTATCACTGACCACCAATCTTGTTGTTTCTGTTAAATCATCGTTCTAGATCATTCTGGTTTTCTGGTAGTTAATTGGAGATGAGTCTCAGACTTTCCTGCTTGGTCTGGCTTTGAACTGTGATCCTCACACCTTAGCCTCCTGAATAGCTAGGATTACAGGTGTGAGCCATCCGTGCCTAGCCAAAACCCTGCTTTTCAACTTTCACTTTTTTTTGGGGGGGGGTCCGGTTGTGGGGCCTGAACTCTGGGCCTGGGCGCTGTCCCTCAGCTCTTCAGCTCAAGGTGAGCGCTCTACCACTTGAGCCATAGCCCCACTTCCGGCTATTTTTTCTTTTTGTTTATGTGGTGCTGGGGAATCGAACCCAGGGCCTCACGCATGCAAGGCAAGCGCTTTACCACTGAGCCACCTTCCCAGCCCCTCAACTTTCACTTTTATCTATCTAGATCCAATTATTAATTTTTAATACATATTGTTAATATTTTCTATTTTTAATTTTAATATTGATAACATTGTTTATATATAGTTAGTGACTTATTTTGTATTACTTTTTTCAATTATAGCTGTTCCTTTCCCCCCAACACATCGTTTGACATCTGAGGAAGTATTTGATATAGATGGGATACCCAGGGTTGATGTTCTCAAGAACCACTTGGTAAAGGAAGGTCGTGTTGATGAAGAAATTGCACTTAGAATTATTAATGAAGGTGCTGCCATCCTTCGGAGAGAGAAAACCATGATAGAAGTAGAAGCTCCAATTACAGGTAAACTTATAAAATTACATTTTGGGTATTATTTTTACTAATATTTAATTGTCTAGAGATAAAGATTTTTTCTTTTAGTCACATTAATATACCAAATTAATATTATCTTGACTTTTCAAATTACATTCTATAATTTTAAAAAGTTTTACCTGGTTTTAATGAATAAATATCATCCTAACTTAATCTTTTTTTTTGGGGGGGTCCGGTCATGGGGCCTGAACTCTGGGCCTGGGCGCCGTCTCTCAGCTCTTCAGCTGAAGGCTAGCGCTCTACCACTTGAGCCACAACACCACTTCTGGCTTTTTTCTTTTTGCTTATGTGGTGCTGAGGAATCGAACCCAGAGCCTCATGCATGCAAGGCAAACACTCTACCATTGAGCCACCTTCCCAGCCCCTAACTTAATCTTATATGCTTTTATACTTCAATTTAGTTCAACACTTAGCTTTCAGTTTTTACAGGCAAATACCTTCCTGTCATATCAAATATTTAAAGTGATAATTTAAAGATCAATAGAAATACTGAGTTAGAATGGAGACTTTACTGCCACCAATACAATTTTTTCATCCAATGACTACTTAATCACATCCTAGGCTTCATAATGAAGAACTTTGTAAGTTTGGATGAAAAGTTTATCATTGACCACCAATCTTCTTGTTTCTGTTACATCATTGTTCTAGATCTTGAGCATGTGAATACTTGCTTATATCTCTGTCATGACTTTTCAGACTACTTCCTTAGGTATTTCTTTTTTTGGGTCCGGTCGTGGGGCCTGAACTCTGGGCCTGGGCGCTGTCCCTCAGCTCTTCAGCTCAAGGCTAGTGCTCTACCACTTGAGCCACAACGCCATTTCCAGCTTTTTTCTTTTTGCTTATGTGGTGCTGAGGAATCGAACCCAGGGCCTCATGCATGCAAGGCAAGCTCTGTACCACTGAGCCACCTTCCCAGCCCTCCTTAGGTATTTCTTGATAGCATTTATGCTGTTTCTTAGAGTAAAGAGTTTAAGTAATATTTGTTATTTCAGGAATTGTTTTTCATATCTAATAATATTCTTGTTTCAGTGTGTGGTGACATCCATGGCCAGTTTTTTGATCTGATGAAACTTTTTGAAGTAGGAGGATCACCTGCTAATACACGATACCTTTTTCTTGGTGATTATGTGGACAGAGGTTATTTTAGTATAGAGGTAATAATCATATATTGTTATTTGATTTAATGTTATTTGTTAACATAGATGATTCGCATTAATTTTTACCTGTGTTGGATTCTTTTACTACCTCTATATTCTAACGGAAAAGTTATTATTTATTTTTCGTTTACACCATTCAATTAATCTTTTTAAAAATTACTTTGTATAATAATAATTGCCAGTTTTTCAAATAGAAATTCTGGGCAGACTTGGGAGACCTTTATAGCCCTCTTATTTTATTACTTTAAGGACCCATTGTTATTTGTTTCTATATCTATTTTATCCCTCTTGCCCCAAAGAGAATAAAGAAAGTGAAAAAAGAGTAAATTGTTTTTGATTAAATAAAGCATTCTTCTTTTTTTTTTTTTCCATGGGGCTTGAACTCTGGGCCTGGGCGCTGTACCACTCTACCACTTGAGCCACAGCTCCACTTCTGGTTTTCTATTGGTTTATTGTAGATAAAAGTCTCACGGCCTTTCCTACCCGGGCTGGCTTTGAACCGCGATCTTTAGATCTCAGCTTCCTGAGTAGCTAGGATTATAGGCATGAGCCACCAGCACCTGGCTAGTATTATTATTATTTATTGCTTAAGCCAATGATTCTTTCATTGTTTAAGCCCTAATGCTTGTATTCTCCCATCTATGTCACTGCTAAAAGCCAAAAAGATATGACATCTTTGCATATTCTGAAAGTATTAATTTGTTTTTAAGAAGTGTTAAAAGGACATATTGATCATCACCAGTAGAGGATTCTATTTATTTATTTATTTATATCTGAGACTGGTATTCAAGTTTGGTACGTGATACTTTTGCTCATTGGGAATTTGTCAACTGAGCCATGCCTCCAACCCCAGTAGAGTATTTTTTTCTTTTTTTGGTCATTGGGCTTGAACTCAGGGGCTGAGCACTATCTCTGAATTTTTACATTCAAGGCTAGTGCTCTACTAGTTTGAGCCATAGTGCCACTTCTAGTTTTCTGGTGGTTAATTGGAGATAGTAGTCTCACAGGCTTTCCTACTGGGCTGGCTTCAAACTGCAATCCTCAGATCTGTCTCCTGAGTAGCTAGGATTAGAGGCATGAGCCATCAGCACCCAGTAATACCAGTGCTTTTAATTACTCTTGCTAATAGGTATTAAAGCTTTCCTTACCTGGTGAATTTCCATACCAGTTATTAATGTTTGTACTACTTTTCTAGGATTTTCAATATATGTCTTTTCTAAAATGTGGGAGGATTGCCGGGCGCTGGTGGCTCACGCCTGTAATCCTAGCTACTCATGAGGCTGAGATCTGAGGATCACGGTTCAAAGCCAGCTTGGGCAGAAGAGACCGTGAGACTCCTATCTCCAATAAACCACCAGGAAACCAGAAGTGGCGCTGTAGCTCAAATGGTAGAGCGCTCGCCTTGAGCTGAAGAGCTGAGGGACAGCGCCCAGGCCCAGAGTTCAAGCCCCATGACTGACCAAAAAAAGAAAATGTGGTAGGATTTCCTGTGTTGTTGAGAGTTTTGGACTCTTGTCTATCCTGTCTCTTTTTGGAATTAATTTGTTCTAGTTCTTCCTCCTATTCATAGTTTCATTATAAGCCCCTTATTTTCTCTGAATTTCAGTTTCAAGAAATCAGAAAATGGGTCTGGGATGTATCTCAGTGGCAAAGTGCTTGCCTAGCAAGTGCAACATCCTGGGTTCGATCCCCAGTACCAAAAAAGAAAAGACAAAAAAAAAATAGTTAATTCTTCCCTCCCCCCCCCCCCGCCCGCCAAAGAAAAAAGAAATCAGAAAATGGTCTGTCCTAACAAAAATTTGGAGACATTTGATAAAAACTATAAAAAACAATTTTAGGAACTTTAGTTGGTTACTGAGGATACCATATTGCTTTTTTCTTTTTGTGATTATTCCCATATGAACTAGTCCTTGTTTTTAACCAATTAAGTAAAATGATAGTCTTTCAGTAATTTTCTCACATTGTTTATTTAGAGAAATTTATTTCCTTTATTAATATTTTTATTATAAAGTTGCATTTAATTTGAGTTAGTTTAGCTAATAAGCACCATCTTATATAATGTGGATATCAATACAAACATAAAAATTGGGCCTTCCTTTGTTATTAGACAGTGTGGCGAAATACTGAAGTTCAGAGGAATATGCTTGGTATGGTAGCTCCTGTCTGTAATCCTAGCTCAATGGAGGTGGGGATCTAAAGGATTACTAGGCTGGGCAAATTGTGGCAGACAATGTCAACCAGTAAAAGCTAAGTGTGGTGGGATGCACCACACCCTCTTATCCCTTAGTGAGAATTGTAAATAAGAGGATTGAGATCTAAGATGGACTAGGCATAAATTTATGCAAGATCCTATTAGAAAAATAGCTAAAGCAAAAAGAACATGTCTCAAATGGTAGAGCACCAGCCTGACCAAGTGCAAGGTCCTTAGTTCCAACACCATTACTGACCTCTCCCCAGCTTAGAATTTCAGAATTCTGTCTTCATTTACTTTGAAATTGTGTTATTTGGGGCAGATTACTGTAACTTAATGCTTCAGTTTCCTTATTTGAAAAAAAAAGATACACCTTAGAATGTTGTTTGAGGAATAAATGAGAATTACCTATGTGGTGTTTGACACATTTCAAGTACTCAGTAAATGTTAACTGCTATATTTTTGTATGTGTGTGCCAGTCTTAGTGCTTGAACTCAGGTCCTGGGTGCTTTTTTGCTCAAGGTCAGCACTTTACCAATTGAACTACAGCTCCATTTTTAGCTTTTTTGTTATTTAATTGGCGATAAGGAGCTCATCTTTCTTACCCAGGCTGGCTTCAAACTGTAATCCTCAGATCTCAGCCTCCTGAGTTGGTAGTATTACAGGTATGAACCACTGGCGCCCAGCTTTTATTTTTGACATTATTTCTGTCTTTCTAATATTCCTAAAGAAGAAGCCATTTTATATATCTTATACTGTATAATCTGATGTAATTAAATAGATTATTTGGGTCTTTGGCTCAACAAATATTTAATGTTTTTCTCCTTTTTGCTAGGTACTTTCCTAGGAGTGGAGAATCAGAAGGAATAAGATGACAAAGTCTGTTACTTCATGGAGCTTGTATTTTAATAAGGGATAAAGGGAGATAATAAAGGGTAGTAGTAGTTAAAGGAAAGAAGCAAAGATCATACAATTTAGTTAAACAAAAATACAAGATAAATTTACTCTAAACGTTTCTTTTGCAGTGTGTCTTATATTTATGGGTCTTGAAGATTCTGTACCCAAGCACATTATTTCTTCTGAGAGGCAACCATGAATGCAGACACCTTACTGAATATTTTACCTTTAAGCAGGAATGTGAGTACTTTCAGGAAAAATATTTTCTCTTTCTAGTATTTTTTTGGAGTGATATGGGTAGTTAATAGATAAGTTGTTTATAGGACAACACAGAAAAGCCAATTTTTGTAATCACATATTTAAAATATTTGAAGAAGATTGTTACCACTCTCTAATATTTATTGGTATTTAATGCAAAAGTTTTCATTTAGTATTTCCTATTAAGTTTATATTTTGTAAATGTACTTAAGGGCAGTGTAGAATTGTATGTATATTTAATTAATATTTAAATTTTAATTGTTACATGATAATTTTATATGCTTATGGAGGTATAAATAGTTTTATTGTTAAAATTATTTTTGGTAATAGGAAAAAATAAAAGCCAAAAGGAAAAAAATTGTTGTTAGACTGCAGGCTTTTTTTTGGTCAATCATGGAGCTTGAACTCAGGGCCTGGGTGCTAACCTTGAGTGAAATAGCTCAAGAATGTCCTTGAGCGCTTAAGGCTAGTGCTTTACCACTCTGAGCCTTGTTGCCATTTCCGGTTTTCTGTGGATTAATTGGAGATAAGAGTCTCACAGACTATCCTGCCCTGGCTGGCTTTGAATTATAATCCTCAGATCACAGCTTTCTGAGTAGTTTGGATTACAGGCATGAGCCACCAGTGTCCAGCTAACCTTGCAGATTTTTGAATCTCTGTCTTGAGGCATTTTTGTGAAGACACAATAAATTATTTTTCCTGTCATCATTGCATGTCTTTTCAAGCATGCTGTTTACGAATTGACTTTTTTGTTTTTGGTCAATCATGAGGCTTGAACTCAGAGCCCCTAAGCTCTTTAAGCTTAAGGATAGCATTCTACCACTTGAGCCACAGCTCCCCTTCTACTTTTTTGGTGGTTAACTGGAGATAAGACTCCATGGACTTTTCCTGCCCAGGCTGGCTTTGATGAACTGCTATCCTCAGATCTCATCCTCCTGAGTAGGTAGGATTACAGGTGTGAGCCACCAGCTCTGGCATTAATTGGCATTCTTAACCTATGCTCATCTCTTTTTACTCAAATAATTGAAGCAATGATAATGTATGTATAAGCAACTAATACAGAGCAGTGTTTGAACTTTTTTCAAACTTTAAACTTAAGCATGTTAAATTTATATTCAGACCATATAAAGTCTTAGTGGTAGGTTCTAAAAATATGTCTGTAGTCTCCCCTAGTATCTGTACTTTTTTTTTTTTTGTCAGTTGTAGGGCTTGAACTCTGGGCCTGGGTACTGTCCTTGAGCTCTTCAGCTTAAGACGAGCACTCTACCACTTGAACCACAGCTCCACTTCTGGTTTTCTGGTAAATTGGAGATAGAATCTCATGGACTTTCCTTGCTGGGGCTGGCTTTGAACCGCAATCCTCAGATCTCAGCCTCCTGAGTAGCTAGGATTACAGGTGTGAGCCACCAGCACCTGACAATCTGTACATATTGATTCTAGGACCCTGTTCAAATAACCAAAATCTGCTTCCCCCCCCCCCCCTTCTGAGTTGTGTGAGTGTTCCTGAGCTTTTTTGCTCAAAACTAATGCTCTATCACTTTGAGCCACAATGCCACTTCTGGTTTTCTGGTGGTTAATTGAAGATAAAAGTCTTTCCTGCCTAAGCAGAAATGTGATCCTCAGATCTCAGCCTCCTGAGTAGGTAGGATTACAGGCATGAGCTATCTGTGCCCATCTTCTGCATAGCATACATATAATATTTAGATGTAACAACAAATCATATATTTTAAATCATATCTTATCACATATACTTAATATGATAGATAATAAGAAAACAGTAAATGACTAAGTATTTGTATGGGGAGCTATGGTATATGTCCTTGCTAATATGAATGTGTTACTTCTAGTCTTCATTTTATTTATTTATTTATTGTCTGAGACCAGGACTCAAAACTCAGTATCTGACGCTTTTGGCCTCCAATTCCTCATTTTTATATGTTTATTCTTAGGGCCATAGTGAGGTTTGGAGTCACAGTCCTGCATTTGTTAGGCAGGTGATCTGCTGAGCTACTTCTCTAGCTCTATTATGCTTAATGTGATATAAATACTATCTGAATAATTATTGTACGGCTTTATTTAGGGAATAATGGAAGTAAAATCTGCACAAGTTTAATATAGAAGTGATTTTTTTCTGCATACTTTTATCTGAGATTGGCTGAATCCATGGAAAGAACCCACTGAAACAGGTCAACTACAATTTCACAGTTATTAAGCCTGAAAACAGTCTAATGAAGACTATTTCTAGAAACTTAGGAAAGTGAAAAACAAAAATAGCTTGGGTAATTGTAAAGTTGCTGTTACAGCAGGCTCATGTAACTTCAAAGATGTGGTATCTAACCTCAATGAATAAGATTAAACCTGTAGAAAGTACATGCTTAGTTGGACGCTGTTGGCTCATGCTTGTAATCTCAGTTACTCAGGAGGCTGAGATCTGAGATTCATGGTTTTAAGCCAGTCCAGGCAGAAAAGTCCCTGTGAGACTCTTATCTCCAATTAACCACTCAAAAACCCAAAGTGGAACTGTGGCTCAAAGTGGTAGAGCACTAACCTTGAGCTAAAGAGCTCAGAGATAGCACTGACTCCAAGTTAAAGCCCCACAGCTGACAAAAAGGAAAAGTACATGCTTGTTCTAAAAGTGATCACATTAAATTTTATTAAGCCCACAATACTAAAGATTAGATCTGTCAACAAACCATCAGTTTACAGCCTCTGGTTGCTAGATACATAGAGATTTTCTTCTCTTATTATTTTTTGCCAGTCCTGGGGCTTGAACTCAGGGCCTAGGCACTGTCCCTGGACTTCTTTTGCTCAGGGCTAGCACTCTACCACTTGAGACACAGCACCAACCAATTCTGGCTTTTTTTTTTTTTTTTGGTCGGTTGTGGGGCTTGAACTCTGGATTTGGGCGCTGTCCCTGCGCTCAAGGCGAGCGCTCTACCACTTGAGCCACAGTGCCACTTCCGGTTTTCTAGTAGTTTATTGGAGATAAGAGTCTCATGGACTTTCCTGCCCGAGCTGGCTTTGAACCGTGATCCTCAGATCTCAGCCTCCTGAGTAGCTAGGATTATAGGCATGAGCTACTGGCACCCGGCTTGGCTTTTTCTGTTTATGTGCTACTGAGGAATCAAACCCAGGGCTTCATGCATGCTAGGCAAACACTCTACCACTAAGCCACATTCCCAGCCTGAGATTTTCTTATATTTAAATGTTACTAACTAAAAAATTCTGAACTAATTATCATCTCCTTCCCAGGGTTCACTTTCCCTATAGACTTTGGCTATAGACACAGACAGAGATCTTTTTTTTTCCTTTTTTTGGTTGTGGGGCTTGAACTCTGGACCTTGGCGCTGTCCCTGAGCGCTTTGCTCAAGGCTAGTGCTCTACCACTTGAGCCACTTCGGTTTTCTGGTAGTTAATTGGAGATAAGAGTCTCATGACTTTCCTGCCTGGGCTGACTTTGAACCTTGATCCTAAGATCTCAGCCTTCTGAGTAGCTAGGATTACAGGTGTGAGCCACTGGTGCCTGCTGTACCTAGGTTCTTAGTCACAACACTCTGTGGGTAAGCTATGTACTACAAGCAGGATAAATAAATGAGGGGAAATTGGAACTAAGCAACCTCTTTCTCTCTCTCTTGATCTCATAATTAACAAACCATGCACCAAAAATCATACCTAAAATAAAATATCAGAAACTTAAACGTATAATGGAACATAAAGTTATGTTCCTATCTCCTAAAACTAAATGATGGTTTGATTTGGTAGTTATTTTCTTTCTTGTGTTTCTGTATTGGCTTTCTACTTCATTGCCCATTTTAAGCATTCATTTTTGTCAGAGGAACCATTCAACTCCTCAAATGTAAATGTATGTGTATTATTACCTTTCCTTGCCTTTCCCATTCCTGTTCCCTTCCCCTTCACTTTCCTTTCCTCTCCTCTCCTTTTCCTCCCCCCACCCTTTTTTTTAAAGCCAATACTGGAACTTGAACTTCCTGTCTCATGTTCTCTCTTGGCCTTTTTACTCATTGCTGGTGCTCTACCACTTGAACCGTACCTCTGCTTCCAGCTTTTTGGTGGTTAATTGGAGATAAAAGTCTTGAAGATTTTTCTGCCTAGGCTAATTGTGCACCAGGATCCTCCTCAGATCTTAGCCTCCTAAGTAACTAGGATTCTTTCATTTTCTTCAAATGGATGAACCTGGAATTGTTTTATGATGTTATAGACTTCCTGCAATAATACTTACTCAGAATAAAAACAAATTTAAACTTTTAGCCTTAACTATAGTTATAATTTTGCCTTATTTGGCCTGATGGTAAAGGGTCAAACTGTTTTTAGATACTTAATTATAGATCTATTTATTTTTAATTATTTATGATCCAAAATTTATTTTGGAGCCAGGCACTGGTAGCTCATGTCTATAATCCTAGCTACTCAAGAGGCTGAGATCTGAGGATCACAGTTCAAAGCCAACCCAGGCAGGAAAATCTATGAAACTCTCATCTCCAGTTAACCACCAAGAAACTAGAATGGCACTGTGGCTCAAAGTGGTAGAGAGAGCACAAGCCTTGAGTGTAAGAGCTCAGAGACAGCGCCCATTCTCCAAATTCACGCCCCAGGACTGACAAAAAAAATTGGCATATCCAAAATAAATTTATAGAGAGCTAATATTTTATCTCCATAATTACTGGTAACATTGTTTTTGTTGATACTTATAGGGAAAAGAGGCTTGTTTCCCTTTAATAGATGTATATTTGGCAAAATTCGTTCTTTATTGTACTATTGAGTTGCATGAAGTTTTTTTTTTTTGTCCCCTTCCCCACAACCTCCACCCCCTCAAGCCCTTGTGTCCCAGGGCTTGAGCTCAGAGCTTTTTGGTCAAGGCTAGCACTCTACCACTTGAGCCACAGCTCCACTTCTGGCTTCATAAGAGTCTTATGAACTTCCTGCCTAGGGCTTGGCTTTGAATTGCAATTGTCAGATCTCAGCTTCCTGAGTAGGTAGGATTTATAGACATGAACCACTGGCAATTCTGTGAGTTTTAACAAATGAATAGCATTGCCTACCACCTTATTCAAGCTGCAGAAAAGTTTCCTCATGCCATTAATTCCTTCTTGCTGCTTTTTTAGTTATTCTTTCATCAACTCAATTTGTGTTTTCTGTTTCCAGTTTTCTTGTTTTGGTTTTAATAGTCAATTTAGAAGATTTACCTTTTTTTTTTTTTTTTTGGTCCGGTCGTGGGGCCTGAACTCTGGGCCTGGGTGCTGTCCCTCAGCTCTTCAGCTCAAGGCTAGCGCTCTACCACTTGAGCCACAGCAC